GTTGGATGTTATGAAGAGGTTTTTCCTCACCGTTAACAAATCATCCACCTCGTCCATACAAGTCAAGACCTTACTCATGTTGCTAACAGTTTATTGTGCCGAATCATTGACTTAGTCTGGATTTGTTTTGTTTCTGCAGATGGTAAGGGTGGCCTGCTTCCCTTGCACTGAGAGCTCCTTTGACAGCAAGTTGCAGGTTCACAACAACAACTTTGAAACTTTTTAAGTTTCACACATGAACTCAACTCTGAACTTTTTAAATTTATGAATAAATTAAAAAGGTATAGTCCACACTTGTCCAAGAAACAGCTTTTGAATGAACTGCGCACTTACTCATGATTGTTATATATGTTATATAACTATAACTCCAATCTGTGAAAGATATTTCCTGACATCGGGAGTTAGGCATTTTAGCGGCCTAACTGCAGCTAAAATACAGTAATTCTGATCCGCATTAGTTATGAAAGAACAGACAAGCAGTCATCACAAACGTACTGTTACAAACATTTATTCGGTACAAAGAGCATAAATTTAGTGGCTAAATGCAAATTAAAAATTTGTAGAGACTATTTCTGTTTTCCTGACATCACAGATCGCTCATATCCTCCAGTAATTGAAAAACGATTAAAATCAGTCTATTAGTAGGAAATAAGCACTGCTGGTACAGTTCCTTAATACTCTGCTGGGCTACTGTGGTACAAAGATCTGTCTTTAACCGACATATAGGCCTCCCTGTGCACCGTTTTATGCTATACTCAGCCATAGCAAGACTGACAACTAAAACAACTAATATTACACCTACCTTAAGTTTTAATTAATTGATTAAAAGGCCGCTCTCACAACGTGACTAAACGATATTGATGTGTCCTATGCGGTTTATGAACAAGGACACTAACAAGGGTATGACGGGTCTTTGCCACCTCAAGAGGCCGCAAGATATAAAGTAGTTTACTGTTCGGAACAGCGGGAAAAGCAGCGTTTTACTTTATAAGCTCTAAATCAGGAGGCAACACAAACAAACCCGGAGAAATTAACATTTAAGTAGTTAACGTTACCTGAACAACTCGAGCGACGGGAGCTGCCATTTTGGAGCTGACTTTACTCCCCATGACGACCTCTCGGGTTTACTTCCGGTTTGAAGCTGCAGAAAGAAAGAAAAACACGCAAAAACACCACATGATGGCGCTATCGACGGCGAGCCCGTAAGACAGAAAGGGTTCAGCGAATGACATTATAACAACGGTGCAGAAGGTAATGTGAAAGTCATAGTAGACAAATAGCAATACATGTTTGTGGGAAGAGTGTTTAATTTTTAGGTAAGATTTGGTCGTTAACATACATTTTGAGTGGAAGGTTGAAGTGCATTAGCGATAAATGCACTGTTATCATGCTACACCTTACCTCTAGCTGTGTCTTTAACCCTCTGTCTATGATAGCAGGTGGCCGGTAGATGTGTTGTCAGCGACTGTCCTGTTAGGTCAGGCCATGTTACAGTCTTCGTTAGCCGTCTCCTATAAAAAACATGAAAAACTATCACTAAAAACCTCCAGCCCGCTCTAAAGTAAAATTATCCGATCTCTGATAAGGCCCAGAACACCATTACTGTTGTCAAAGCGACAAAATTGATTGAATATTGTCGTATGATAAGGGAAATGTCAACACAAGGCTCCTGTTAGGTAACGGCAAAAATATCTATCTTTAATTTCACACTCCCTTGAAGAAAACGGATAACCTCGTCACGTGGGCTGTGCTCGCTCAATCACAAGCGAGATAAGGAACAGAGCTCTTTTATTTGTGAAAATATGTCACCAGGAGCAATATCGCTTTTTCCTTCGTGCCGCGTTGCACATACTGTAGTATTTGTAGTATAATATCTATATAAAAGCCAGATTACACAGCAATTAGGTTATTAATATTGCTGTTCCTTAATAGTTGGTGCTCATAAGAGAGGAAAACCCAGCACATATTGGGTATCTGACTTTTCCCCCCCCTCTCTTCTCATAGTTTATATGTCTCAGCAGTTCTCTTAGTAAAACGTATTAACATCTTTCATTACAGGCCTTCTGGAAAACAATGTGCAAATGCTTTTAAAACCACAGGCATCTGGTTTAGAATGCAGACACTGTCAGATCCTATTTTCCAATTAAGCTTTGTCAAATTAATTAATGGGAAAGATGAGAACAGTTTAATGATGGGTAATAAAAACCATGTCCAACCATGAGACTAGGAAGTTTCCAATCCTTTCTGGTATGTTCTAAAGTCATCTTGTGCTTACTGTAGACATATACTCAGGTGTTATGTTGGTAAACATTAACTATGCTTTGAGTAACAGGCCTACAGTTAATCAGAGAGTTCAACTGAGTTCACTGTTTATTCTCATTGCAGGAATAAACCATAGATAGCATAAATCTCACTAATTTTAGCCTTATTATTTAATGACAGGTCTTATAGCATTGAACAATGACTCTATTATAACACTTTTAACTCTGCTTTGCAGATTATTTGTGGATGCATAGACACAAGTAGTAGACACAGAATATATGTGTACACCGCCCATCATCAGAAAGAAACGGAGAAGAAACAAACGATTTGTATTTTATCTTTTTTATTAGATATTAAACTAAGTGGTCCAGGGTCGGAGAAACCAAACTGGTCACTTTTACTGGGTTTACTGGGTCAGCTCCCACTTTTGAGACGCTGTGGCCCCAGTTTTACAGTCTAAAGATACACATAACAGTGCTAATGTCATGACAACTGACACTATGTTTGTTAGATGAAGCACTGTATATAGATACTATGGACTGCTGCACATCAGTAGCTCTGTACACAGCTGTCGGCTGCTGAGTCTGAAACAGACTGACTCAGTGGGTTTTTGATTTGTCGAACAGCTGTTCGAGTTCTTCTTTAGAGGTTGCCTCTTTCTGCTGCATCAGATCAGCATGGCCCTTGGTAACACCCCAAGAATCAGGGACAGACATGGAGGGACACTGGGGACGACCGGAGGCTGGCTTCAGGTTCTCCCAGTAATCACGTCGGGCTCTAAAAGTCAACAGACATAAAAAAAACAAGAGTGATTACTGGTAGTAAACAGCGAATATGTCATATTTCACAAAGTATTTTTAAGTATTAGAATTAATAGTTGCTTCTGTTCTGACCTGGCTCTAACCCAAGGCTTGGTGTGCATTTCCAGACCAGCACCCCAGGAGCCATGTTTCTCTGATGCACTTGGAAGGAAGCCTCTCTCAGGTGCCAGTTCCTCTGCTATAGCCCTAATGTGATAAGCCTCAAAGCCACAGCAGCCACCGATGAAGCGAATGCCAGCATTGTAAGCTTCTCTGGCATACTTGTGCATGTCCCAGCGAGTCAGAATCCTGGGCTCCAGGCCTGAAAGAGAAAAAAAACATTTTTTTATGCACATTTAAATTATAGTTTTGTAGTTTGTGGTGAAAGTTTGCTGTTCTGTGTTGGCTGGCTGAACTTTCTGCAATGCAGTGTAGCATATTCACCAGCAGAGGGCATATATAAGGACAGTGCGTATCCAGAACAGTCGGAATGGCAGATTTATAATACAAGACAGTATCTCGTTACCGAAGGGGAACTCTGGCAGGTCGATAAATCCCTGGCAGTTGCAGTCAGGAGTGTGGTATGCCAGCGGCTGAACCATGTAGTGAGCCTTCAGACCAGCCTTCTCCACTCCCTCCTTCATCTGCTTCACGGTCTCCACACAGGTCATGGGGTCAAAGTGACAGTTGACTCCCACAATCTGGGCACCTGTAGAACAAAATACACCACATGCAGTAACATGAACTGTGTGTGAGAGTGTAAGAAAATACATGGCTGACACCTAATCAACTGTGGTTTGCAGTTGTGGGTATAAGGTCTTTGAATGTATTTGTGTTTAGTGGGAACATTTTTGTGCATGTTACTGAATAAAATAACTATTGGCCACTGTTTTGGCCTGTACAGGCTCATCCCAGAAAAAAAGGAAATCCTAACAGAAGAAAACCAATTACAGGTATCATATGCCATTTTTATTCCTTATAAATTAGTTACACTATGGTGGCACAGATGCTGAAGTTTTGTTCATTTTTACTGTCCAATAAATTGCTGTCGGGCCAATAGTCACTCACTCTTGTAGTAGAAATACACCAAGTGACCTCACATGAATGTAAAGGTATATAAACCTCAGTTGATAAGAAGTCTTGAACTTTTTAGTGTCTGATAAGGCTCACAGGGAGACAGTCTGTAATTCTTTTCTGCTGAAACAACATAAAAATTGACAAAGATAACTGTACTCACCGGCTTTGACCAGCCTGACTGCACACTCTCCGGGTGAGACACCGTGCATGTCCCCCTTTGGTCCAATACACAGAGAAGCAGCCACAGGCTTCCCTGTCTCCTTCATCACCTCCACAGCCCACACGGCCTCTTCAACATGCTCAAAGTACTAAAGGACAAAAGCATTAAGCTCAAACAAAACTTCTCTCAGCAAGTAAGAAACACTCAAAACTGGTTCAATGGCAGTTTTACACCTTTGGAATCCTCCAGAAAAAGTTTTTAAAAAATGCCAAAGCGTTCGGTGTAGCTACCTCAGCAATCAGGAAGTCCACATTTTTCTTGATGAACACATCCAACTGTTTTCTGAAGATGGCCTTCACATCTGCCTTGCTCTTGCAGCTCAGGTAAGATGGAGTTTGGGACACTCCTCCAGCAACAAGAGCATCACCCTCATTGGCAACCTCACGGGCTAAATCACAGGCAGCCTCATTGATCTGAGCTCCCTGTAGAATGAAGCAAAAAAAAAAAAAACCCCAACTAATAATCAAAGAGACTCTTCAAATACACATTTAAAATATTTTTGTTTTGATAAAGAATGAAACTTGCTGTAATTTCCCCTTTAACTTACAGTCAGTTTGAGGTTGTTGCCTCTGTTCTCAAGTTTGTCATCACTGGCGTAGAATGTAAAGGTCTGCATAACGTTGGACCCGGCTCTCAGGAACTCCCTGTGCAGCTGTCGCACTGAAAATCATCAAGTGGTTGCATCATAGGACAAACGCTGTGCCAAAGCAATCTAAAATGTAACATACACTGCCAGGTATTTACAGGCAGACCCAGCAATGGATAATGGAAATCCCATTTTAAGATGTAACGGAGTGGCAGTTTTGGTACAGCAGTATGTTCTTACCTGCATCAGGGTACTGTACAGAAGCTTCAGGCGTCCATGGTCCGGCCTTTACGTACCCCCTCTTCTCCAGAGCAAACACAAATCCTCCATCACCAATCACCACATCACCAGCATTGAGACGTTCAAGGATGCCCTGTGGAAACAGAGGGATCCATGGACACGCTTAACCTGTGCTCAGTGGATCATTTTGCAAATATCACTGTGGAGCCAGTAAAGCCAAAGAAATTGCAAACTGTATATTTTAAAGAAACTTGTAATCGATATCAGCTTATACACAGTTAAATCAATTGTCTGGCCTTGTGGATTGCAGATTCCTATATCCTGTACCACATCTGTCTTCCCACGCTGAAAGTTTGTTTTTAAAGGTTTGTTCCTTTAAAAAGCTCAAAAAAATCCTGTAAGAGTTGCAAAAATCAAAATCAAATAATATTTTGAAGTAAGTCTTGTTATTTTTAATCTACAGGAAAAAGTCAAAACCTAGGGTAATATCAAAGGAGACTGCAAGTGAACTGAGCAAACACATTGAGTGTTCCTAATATAAGATGAATGCTTAATGAAGAAAATGTTTTTTATAATCCACATTTTATGAAATCTTATTTTTAAATGGCAAAAAATCCAAACCATCTCATTAATTATGTGCTACTTTGCATAAATCCCTGCTACAGATTGAATAAACACCTAACTGTGTGTTTTGCACACATCTTTAGTCTAGCAATAGAAGCAAACTCGGCTAAAATATTAAAACTGACCAGTGGATAATATAAATATAAACATGCTTGCAGTGTGACACTCTAAGATTTTTTTAAGCTACCATTATTCCGTATACAAATTAAAAATGGAATAAATAAAATGAGCTTCATTGGTCTTTCTGTATGCCTAATAGCATCAAGAAGGTTCAGTGGTCTGAGAAATGACCTGATGTTCTACACAGAATACACACCACTCAAAAAGACTACCATAAACATGCAGTATGATACCCCAGCCTCACAACCTTTCACCCACATTTAACTTACAGCGTGAGATGGGAGCAGAAATCTCAGACAGAAATACTAACCCCACCCTGGATCATTATGATTGCTATAATAATTTCACAAAACTAACTTTTCACAGCATAACCCTACCTCTGGACAAAAAAGTCTGCACATACCTTTTTTGCTGGTGCCATAATTTCACAGCTGTGTGGACCCCTGACTGCTCAGACCTCGAGATGCTGAAGTGACAGTAGAGTGGGGCAGAGGGCCAGATTAAATCTCTCTGAAGAAGGGGAGTGTTCTAAGTAAGAGCTGCTCTGATTGGCAAGGGAAAGGTTATGCAACTCTTTGAATGAGAGTATTGTGAATGTGCGATACTAGTTTGGTCCGGATTAGATGGTTCTTGGTGTTGTTGTTGGATTCCCTCCCAGTTTTTGGCCTTTTGTTTTCAACCTGATAGCAGGCAGGCATTAAAAGAAAAACAAAAAAACAGTCAAACACTAGATCAATTCACATATGTCTGCATGGGTGAAATTGGTAACAGACATTTTTGAGTAGTTTGATTTGTTGCAGCAGTCCAAGCACATGCTTCACAAAACCAACACGAAGCCATAAAGTGAAGTAAAAAACTCAGGTTTATTGTTTTGGGGGTTTTACAGTTTAACACTCTACAGTCGGAGCACTGCTGTTACAAGTGCTTTTTATCGTCTAACTGAACTGGGAAAAACCTCACTCACCCCCCCGTGTCTCTGTTGTTGACTGACTGGAGGGAGAGGTGCATTGATTTTCTTTATAATCTCATCCTCATACTGTGGACTTGGACTTCTGCACCTCCAGCACATGCCTCATTTCCTTGATGGTGGTGGCCTCTTTGTGCTGAAGCAGTTCAGCATCACCCTTGGTCACACCCCAGCCTTCTGGTGTGGACATGGATGCGGATTTGGGGCGACCGGATGCAGGCAAGATCTTCTCCCAGTATTCACGACAGGACCTAGAAAAAAAGGGCAGGTTAGGAGACAGACACTAAAGAATTTTATTGCTACAATTGTATGAATCTGTCTAATCGTTTAAAATGACCCAAGGCTTGGTGTGCATCTCCAGACCACTACCCCACATTCCATGTTTCTCTGATCTGATCCAGCGGGTATTATGCCTCTTTCAGGGGCCAGTTCCTGTGCCAAAGCCCTGATGTGATAGGGCTCAAAACCACAGCAGCCACCAATGAATCGGATGCCAGCCTTGTATGCCTCCCTGGCATACTTATGCATGTCCCAGAGGGTTAGGATTCTGGGTTCTAGGGCTGAGAGGATAGGGGATAAGAGGATATGAAATAATGGCCACTGCAAGATAGCCTGCTTTTTTCTTTTTTAAATATGCACAAAAAATATTTTACCGAAGGGGAACTCTGGCAGATCAATGAATCCCTGGCAGTTGCAGTCAGGAGTGTGGAATGCCAGCGGCTGAACCATGTAGTGAGCCTTCAGACCAGCCTTCTCCACTCCCTCTTTCATCAACTTCATGGTCTCCACGCAGGTCATGGGGTCAAAGTGGCAGTTGACTCCCACAATCTGGGCACCTGCAAAACAAGGGGGGGATTTGATTATTTTTGCCTTTAAGTAAAAGGAAGAAAAAGAAAACATGACTATAAATTTGCGTACCAGCCTTCACCAGCCTGACTGCACACTCTCCAGGTGAGACACCATGCATGTCTCCCTTTGGTCCAATGCACAGAGAAGCAGCTACAGGCTTTCATTTTTCAGGCTACATTTTTAAAAATAATGACAAAGAACACACAAAGATGGTTCCATATATAATGTACTGTGGTTGAGAAATTAGTTATCTCTGTGTGCAATGACAATTTTATGAATCTGTAAGTATTGCTGTTTAAGTACAAAGGTGTAAAGATAAAAAGCAATTTTTAGCTTGAGATTCTCCAGCACTGAGTGCTCCAGTCTGGATATTTCACAGACCACATGCTCACACATGCATGAAACATGCACTGGCAACATTTCCTTTACAGCACCACAGTCCACTAACCAGCTCTGCATATTGCACTTGGTGTGCAAAACAACACACAGTGGAGCATAGTGTGCAGAGGGTTTATTTTACCTTCTTCACAGGTGCCATGTTCCCCGTTCTAGCTGCAGCACAAAGCACTTTGTAACAGCGAACCCCTCTTTAGGCCTGAAGAGTGCCTGAGATCCCTGCGTCGCTCTTTTTATACTGTTGCAAGTCCAGGACGACTTTAAGTTTGAACCAAATTCATGCCAAATTGCCCCATGTTTGTTTGGAAATTGCATAACAAAGTCAACAATTAACTGGGTTGAGTAAAACAGGGAAAGAGAATGAAAGGGAAATCTGCCTGTGTAATGATTGTAGCAGCAGGCTAAACCTTCACATTAACTCACTCCCGTTTGTCCCAAGCATTTTTTTTTGTTCATGTTTTTATTTTTCTATTTTTTTGCTTTTATTTTCCGCAGACCGCAGAGATTGCCTTATCACGTAAGCTCGAGAGCATATGCCTATACTTCTGCTTTTGACATAATTTTTCTCAGGGTTTACCTTGAGCATGCAAATGCATTTACGTGTTTGCAACCTCATGTGTTTGTGTGAGTGTGCACATGTTTGTAACAGCATGCATTTGTGTCCTCAAAGACCTAGGGATGGGATGTCACAAATTTAGTCTGTCCTGGTTTTTGGAAGCTTCACACATTTGAACATTTGTTAGTGCCGAGACTCACAAAATATAGTACTGTAAATGTTTGCAGCTCAAGCCCCAGTGCAGTGCTCATGTAGGCATGCATGCATGCATGTATAGAACTAGAACAACTAGTTTATGAAACAGTTTATTTCCACACAGTGAGTGGGGAAATATTTTGATAATCATTGTCTAGAGATTCGATGACTTCTGGCACTTTAATGTAGTTATTTTTTCTGTTTTAGATCATGCAGCTAAATAGGGAAATAACAGATTAATTGTATTTCGAATGATAATAGATTAGGTTGCTTTGATCGTGCTGTCTGGAATGGAAAAAAGCTGATATATATATACAGAAAAATTTTAGAGGTAATACAATTTTTTCCAAATAATAAATTTTGCTGGATTTGGGGGGTAATGTGTACTAAATGATGCACAAAGTTGTATTGAACCTGTGGGCGTATTTTGGTAGGAGCTGCAAATAAATGTATGCATACCTCCCTGTTAATCATCAGACTGAAGCTCATTTCTTCTCTAAGTCATCTTATTTTGGGGGTTTAAAATGGCTATATTTAGAAAAAGCTTACCGCAAGATGTAGAAGTTTGACTTGCAAACATGACACCTAAATGAACCCTCTGAACTACTTCTCTCAGACACAAGACTTTAGGTACACTTTTATTGAACCTTAGTTCAGTTCACGTGTTTGTATATTTGTGTCTAAGGGCAAAAATAATTTCAGTGCACTGCTGAGATACCGATTCAGGCAGCAGGTCTCCCAGGTGAAACCTTTAAATTTCTAGGTACACGTGCACCAGAGAAAGTGCTGCTTACCGTGCCCACTGACTATGTAGCGTAATATTTCAAGGACACATGAAGCTTGGAATAATTACAAAATGTTTTGCATTCATCTGATTTTTTACATCTTATTTTTCTTTTCACCTTCTTCTTATTAATTAAGGGGCTGCTGCTCTCCTCTCTTTGTTCATTTTTGATCCCATCCAAGAACAACAGCTACATCAAGCTTTACTAGTGATCTAAATTTGTAATGAATATCTATGATATCCAATTTCTTCTGAATTATTCCAGCTATCCCAGTCGGAGTATTGAACACTGACCAGCAGGTGAACAGACTAACATTGTCCTCTCGTAAACACAACTAGTTCTTTCAGGCTGAGGCTGAAACTGAGGCCATTCATGGAGTTTCTGTAACAGAAAGCTGACGGTGAAAGAGGGACCAGGGACTGATTGGTGAGTAGAGGGGAGGAACTCTTGACAGTTGGCTTGAGCTGGATGGGTTCAGAGGTGAGGAGTGGAGGTGAGTCTGAAGTGAGGCAAAAAAGTTCATATTTGATGTATGAGAGCTGACGAAGCGATCGAACGGGCTTGGCTCATACTGATAAAACTGTGGTTAACTATTGACTCCTGACAAACTGATAACGTCTTGAATTTGTCACATGCTACTTTGGTCAGGTGGCCACACAAATATAAAAGAGAAAAGCTGACACAACACGGGAAAATGTTACTCTTGAGATGAGCGTTTGTTTTTGGAATGGCAACTGCAATATTGTAAGTTATGTTATTGATTATTATTGATAATCTTGTTCTCCTTTTTTTAGGTCTACAAGTCATAGCACATTGATTATTTTCCTGCCAGTATTATCTGTGTTGTTTCACTATCTTGTAACTGGTTATTGAGGGACACCCTGCCTGTGCTGCTGTAACCCCCTGTTTACCTCCTCCCCTTCCTCTGGTCCAATCACAATTCAAGCTGAAGAAGACATTCAGCTGAAATTGTATTGAGGCAGTCAACGCAAAAGAGGGAGTGCATTGTGTGACCGAATAATCTCACTCATGTATTTGTAGTTTTTTTTCTTCTTATTTTGTAATTATGTTTAATAAATTTGTAAGAGATTGCATTGTGTTTAGTCATTAATGATTCTCATTCTACATTGTAACTCCACTTTTAGACACAAGAGGGCAGAAGGGTGCTCTTTTCTTGGTAACAGCGATTGCCCAGTACTATATAAGAGGCTCTGATACAAGACACAAGAGGTCACTCAGTGTTTGCTCCATTTTAGAAAGATGTGAATGTTATATTTTCCAGCTGAAAACTCTCAGGACAATTTGGACTTAAATGACAGTGTTTGTAAAACAGGAATTTTAAGGAATCCTGAAACTCTACATGTCACGTCTGTGTGTATTTCTTATGGGAAAATGGTGACAGAATTCAAGGGACACCTTGACACTCAAGACAACTGTCTATTTTCCCACCATATATACCTGTTCCTGCACCTGCTGATTATTAAAGGACCATGGAGAAGACTAAATTCATGATCCCTCCTATGCATAAGTCATAAGATTATAATGTCACCTGAGGTGCCATTTCTGCCGGTGTGGCAAACAGGTGCTGTCCCACATGCAGGTTTCGTAATACTGCATTGAATGTTCAGGCTATTTTGCTGCAAAAAGCAAAGTATGAGATCTAAATGGTAATGCATGTTGATAATTACGACGCTGTTATGAGGAGCTGTTTAC